AAAAAATTGTGACTATGTATTTCTTTTATTTTTCAACTTCTATTGTAAAAATATGTTAGGAGTCTTTCCACAAAAATAGTTCAATTTGTACAAAGAATATCATCCAAACAGTACCTATCAAGCAAAGTGGAAAATGTTAAATATGGTTTCCACAAAGTAATGCACTAATATCTTAGGAGTTATAAGACTTGTTTTAATCATTCTATATAAAATTTATCTGAAATATGTAAAATTGAACTAGATGGGTTAGTAGTTACTTATACAGATGAGACATACCAATACTGGATCTTCTCTATAGTTACACATGAGAAACTTTTAAATCAATAAAAAAAAAAATATACATTTTACAAGTTATAAGTATAAAATATTACCAAATTATATCGAACAGTAAATGCACACCCCTTACCAAGCATTGTATAAATTTGTCTTTCAATATAGACTATAGCATACGGTGAATGTTCACTTATAGAAATACAAATAAATTGAATTGTAAGAACCCGTTTGGACAAAAAAGAACTTAAGGCTTCATGTCACAAAGCTAAAAAGTTCTTCCAGTTAAATAATTGTTGTGCAAACAATTCGCTTTCCTACTTTCAACTAGTAAGACAAGTAAAAAAAAAGATAATGGACGTGATATTATAGCGTATGACATTTCTGTATGAACGTACGCAAAAAAAGTTCAGTAAGTACACACTTTGTTGATTATCAAGAATAAAGAACATCAATTGGATGTTAAAAAAAGTATACTGAATAACGTTGATAGAAAACAAGGCTATGTACCTATAAAATAAAACATTGTTTTTGCTTATTTATTAGAGTGGTTATATAAAAAAGAAAACTATCTTTTTATTTCAACCCTATTTTATTCTTTTTAATGTTTTGTTTTGTCATTTTGTCTTTGTTTAGTTAGAACTTATAAAGCAGGGAATAAATAATAGTATATTAAAGAATTATTATATTCAAAGTAATAATCGTAGTACCTATGTCCTATATATAGGTAACTAGATTTAATTATAAGCTACATGTTGTAACTTATTAACCTTACAAGTCACCACAAGCTTTTCTTAGAAAGGTTAATTTATCAAAACACTGAAGTTTGTAATTATGAAATAAAAGAAAAATAATATACTATTAAGACTTGACAATCCTAATACTCCTTAAATTCATTTAATACCATATCATTAGCCCTTCAACGTGTTTTAAAGATAAATACCTATTAATTTTATCCAAAAGTTTACAACATTTTGTGATTATTTTTTTTTGATACCTATACATAGGTAATTTGTATATTCATTGTATAATACGTTTGAAACGAAAATAGCGGTTTTATATTACTATTATTTGTGTAATTTACTTTTTTAGATAGCCTGCATACGTTTTGTTAATATTCCAAAGAAAAATATTTTTCTGAGAMTAAATACAAATCTAAGTTAAAATCATTATAAGTATGTAGGTAATAATAAATAGTACCTTTCCAGATAKTTTTAATCAAAGTAATGGATCAATATTTTGCATATTAGATGCCCCTGTGCTACTGAATCCCGTTATCTAGAGTTTAAGCAGTTACTTAAAAAACAACTGGTCAACTACTCATTTTAAATTTGACTTTTAAATAATATTGAAGTTTTCAGAAAACAGCCTGTTTCTCATAGACTCAATTTTAATAAAAATACTAAGGTTGCTTAAGCTTATGCATTTTATCGTTTATTTTTTAATAAGGAGACATTTTAGATACATAAACATGAACATTATTTGAGGGTGCTGATTTAACAATTGGGGGGTGCTGACACCCCTAAGACCCTCCTATTTGCGCCTATGCTGTTTTGAAACGTAAATATATACCTGAAGTTATTCAAAAAAGTAAAAACATGTTTTTAAAAATAAATCATCGTTGTTTAAAAACTTTAAATTATGTACAAAAAAATTTTAWAWAGCCTTGATCCATTGTGAAGTAATAATGATAATGATGTTTACCAATAAAATAATTCTAAAGTTTAATACAGTTTAATATTATTAATCAATTATTTGTATGAAATTCAAATTTTGTAGATCAAAGGTCTCATATAAGTATCGTGTTACGAAACTTAATATTGTATACTGTTATGGTATATACAATACTCAGTCATTGAAAAAAATAACAGGTACCTAATCTAAATATTTTTACAAAAATGTTAATACTTTTCAAATTTTAACGATGGTGATATTTACTAATAAAATAATGCTTTATAGTATGAGTAGTGTTCTGTATAGATTTATATTATTAAGTTTCAAAATATTTATATTGAAATTGAACAAAATCTATATAATATTTGTTTCATATTTAAAACATTTAATTCAAACACGCGCCGAAGCAGAAATACGTGAGTTATTGCTTTTGATAATCGACATATTAATTTATATTATTCTGGAAGTATGATGAGGGTTAAACAAATAAAAGTATATGCAGAGATAAAATATTACATAATAATAAATAATAATATACACCCTCGATGATTATATTATATCATTTATTAAATAAGTAATATATATTATATATAAATAATATTCTTATATGAAGCAGAAATAAGGGCCAGTTTTTTAAGGCTTTTCCATGTTGCTTTATAAAATTACGATGCTACAATAGCACAAAAGGCGATTGTAAACTCTCCCGGGTTTAGTCCAATACTACCTGACGGGAACATGTAAACTCTCCCGGGTCTAGTTCAGTACTACCTGAAGAGAACATGTAAACTCTCCCGGGTTTACATTCAGTACTACTAAGCTAGCTGGGGAGCATGGGGTATTATTCGTTTTACACAGTTAGAATTGGCTGAGCCATTATAGTCGATATCGTTTTAAATATTTAAATTAAAAATATTCTAACGGTAATTAAATATTTAAATGATAAATACAGGTTAACACAAGATAAATACAGATTWAATACGGTAATACAATTCATAATAAAAATTATAATCACAATCTCTGCAGTGTAGCCAATTCATAGAGTAGCACATAGAGTAATATTATATATTACTCTATGGAGTAGCAATAACATTTAAAATAACTCGGGAGAGTTTGCACATTTCTTTCAGGTAAACATAATATTGACCCGGGAGAGCTTACACATTTCTTTCAAGTAAACATAATATTTATCCGGGAGAGTTTACTAGTTTTAAAAATCGGTAGAGTTTACCACCGCCCAGCACAACGTGATCGACTAAATATTTTTCTAATGTTTCCCAAGTTCTATAATGGTGTTGAAGATATTTCAGATAATCGTAGAAATATTTTTTTGTTTTCTAATGTCTTCGTGATCTTGACATTCGATTATACTAAGCAGGAAAGGTAAGCTATACAATATACTTTTTTCGTCGCGTAGCTGATTTTTTGTATTTTTTATGTAACGAATAATGATATAAACATTTTTCGATCTTATTTATAATTTATGCGTTGAAAATACGTAAAATAAGCATCCCGAGTCATTAGTTATATTCTTAAATTTATTGTATTGATTAAAAAAAATATATATTAAAAAAAAAACCCAAACTTTGTACCTACATTTCACCAATCATGTTTGGTTATTTGATTTATTTTTGTGTTTGTACCTCAATATCAAAAAAAATACAATACGACAATATTGTCTTTCGAAAAAACTACGTTCAGTATACGATATTTATTACATTAAACCGATGGATTTCACATTGACAGTTAATGATTCGACGTTTACATTCATTTTTCCATAGGTTTGATAGTATGAGAAATTTTAACAAAATATATCGTATTATCTTACCATACTTGAATTATGTTTTTTTCTTAAAATTAACTATATTTTGATTTATAATTATATTATAATTTACTTACTTTGTCGTTAACGTTTCAGATAATTTGGGATCTAAATTTTCTGCAATCAAAATTGCGTCCTGCCAACTGATCGGTGATTCGTACACTTTCTCGTCCACGTAAACTCTGTTACAGTTACAATAGGTTGTTGACACATGTAAAAATACCTGTATCACAAAATGTATTATGCTATTTGTATTAATCGTGTTATAAAATAATTTAACATTGCATGTATTATGTTGCGTATTGGAAAACCATGTACAAAATTATGGTACAATACAGTGGTCCCCATCACGTGGCACGCACTAACATTAAATTATGTATTCTAAAATCCGAAATCCAAAGTTTATAGAAAAACATTTGTGTCATTCATGAACTTTTCCTACAATATTCTTTCCTGATAAAATATCCTATCTCATTCTATTATTATAATTTTTTTTTAGTATTCTTCACTAAATTCACTAACAATTGCACATTGTTACATTTTTAATTATCATCAATAAATCTGTGAGCATGAAGTACTATTATTTAATAGTTTTTTAATCAAGCCAACCAAGCCCTCTCATGTATTTCTCCATTTATTGTGCTTATTGTAAAAATGTCTTATACAAATTGTAAAAATTAAAATAAATATAACAAATAAAAAAACCAAAAATATGTAACCGGCCCGCAAGTAATTTTCAAAATTTATGTTTGGCCCTTTCTAAATTCTTAGTGAGGGTCACTGATATAATAAATACCCCGGAGATGGGTTATGCCTTACAATCATTATTAATTACTAAAATAATATATAAATCTATAATAATATCGATAAACTTATACGTACGTATGATACATAATACGACATCTAACCTAACCTATGACTTCTAAAATACTAGCCAGTAGCCGAATTGAAGGTCCAGAGTTAGAACGAACATTTAAATACATAAAATCAATACATTTTAAACACATAAAGTCAAAATATTGAAGTTAACCACCCAACTTGTGAATACCTTTTTTAAAATAAAGATGTTAATATTATTTTAAAATACAAATTATGTATGAATCGTATGACATGTACGAAATTATCATGAATTATGTAATCACAATCTATTAACCTACCTATTAACTTAGGTGTGGTCAACAAATAGATCTTGATACCTTTTCTTGATTTTTTCAAAAAATAATTTTTTCGTAAATAATTTTTTTGTTAGCTTAACTAAATACAAAATTAAATGAATATCAACTGATAAAGACAATAAATATAACTATGAAGTAATATAAAAAATAATAACTGTTTCTACTTTGGATTGATGTACCTATATGTGAGGTGGCCAAAAGTAAGTTATTTACCGACCAATCACATTTAAATAATAATAAAGTGATATGAATACTACTTTTAACGTCAAACACCCCGGATTTTGTGAAATTATCCAATCAAATACAAGTACAAACATTTAATTATATTATAAAATATTTTTTATTTTATTGAAATTAATCTATATTCTATACAATATATTCTAAGTACAATGAGAAGGTTTGATAAGTGACAAATAAAAGTAGATAACATAAATCGTATGATTAGGGAGAATACACAGTGGTAACCACCCTATAAATTGACAGTAATAACAACGAGAGTTTTTAAATTTGAAAGGTGTTCCTTGGTAGCAACATTCAGCACTTTTTCAGCTCACTTACTTAAGAATAAGATCTCTATACAATTGCCTTTTAAGCCTACGGCGTGGGTTACCAGGGAGTGTATTTGTTGATAATTTAGAGATTAGTGGAATTGTGTGTTACTTGTTGAAGTTTATTGTGAAATTTGGTATAGTATAGTTTGAAGATTTGGCAAATATTTTGAATTTTAAGATCTTTATGGAGATTGTTGTTGGTTAGGAATTAAATATTTAAATAAACTAATTGTATAAAATACAATTTTTGAATTTTCCCCTTTTAAAACTAATAACTTATAACATTTTCTTTTATTCATTAAAGTCTCAACAACTAAGGTTATTGGTTTACATTATTTACAATATTAATATTAAATTATGATAATATGCGATATTTAGAAATATTACTATATATTATTATGTGCTTTGTTTAAGTATGCAAAAAAAAGGTAGAGAAAAAAAATAACATAACATTTGGAATTAAATACATATTAAAATGTTATAAGAAGTAAGACTGTAAAATAAATATTTAAATTATTTGAGTTTATAAACCTTTTTGGTCGATCATGACAACCAAGAAAATCTTTATTTTAATTAATCTATAGAAATTGGACGCCGCTGCTATTATCACTCACAAAAATTAAATATACTCTATGCATACAATATAATACGATACTATTTTCCAATGATATATATTCAACAATAATACAGTATATTCTAATTTTGGATGTTTTAAAACATACTTCTCAAGCACAAAATTTGTTTCATATATCAAAGAACTTAAAAATGAAACTTAATAATTATCTAGAATTTAAAAGCGTAACCGTGTAAAATTAATAATACACTTTACACTTATAATATTGTTTTCATTACATATATTTATCATATCAACGATTAAAACGACGAATAATCATCATCAAAAAATAAAAGTATTTGATTCGCTGTGAATTTATTTTATTGAATTATCTTTCTTCACGATAACGAATGATTTATACTACGAATCACTTTCACATAAATTACATTGTTCACGTTTCTTTATCGATATATTCAATCATTGAGGAAATCACGAATAACATTATATTATCTTGAATTGACGGGAGGGGACCATTTTTCTCCAAAAATGGGATACTGCGTATTTCCTGCACTATTCATTTTTTTTATCAAAAAAGAAAGTTAATTTCCATTTTCCTCCAAAATTTGTTTTTACCACATTCGTATCTATTTACTTTCAAAGTCACATGTGAATTTATTGAATTTTAAATTATTTATTGAATTTTTACGATGTAGATACTTAGGTATATATGAAATTAATATTATGACACAAATTGTTTAATTTATATTCTTATACATAATATATTATTAATCAGTATGTAATTAATAATTAAATATATCGTATTCGTATATAGTTACTTGTTGAAAAATACTTTTTAGAAATATTTCCAATGATCTTCGATACTAAAATGTAATAATTGTATATTGCCATCAAACTATGAAAATAATTGAAAACACAAACTAAATATTTAGTTTAATATAATTTTGTGTTCAATATTTTTAAACACAAAAGTATGTATTATCACAATAAGTATTTGAAACATATTTAAAATACAATAATATAGCTATTCAAATATTTAACATTAATGTGTGTGTAATATTACGTATATGAAAAACTGACACTTCAAATGTTAATGGCATAGGTAATTCAAAAATCGACGATATTTAGTATGTTATTTGTGATTTTGATAAACCTACATAACTGTCGGGGAGCAATAAATAAATAATAATAATAATAATAATTTATTATTTAGGTAATTAAGATATACAAAATTAAAATATTTGACTTATAATAATAAGTAGCCTATAACTGGCCCTTGAATGCTCTATACATTTCTTTTATACTCTAAAAAATCAGGAAATACAGTGGACTGGCCAACTGGCCTACTGTCCTGTGGGATAGCAGGTCTATGTACTATGGAGCCCTTCATAAATAAGCACCAAGTGGCTATAACTAAAGGATTATACTTCTAAAATCTTTATTATTCTCAATCGTGAATTCTGTTTTCTGAATTTGATAATAGAATAGGTACGTATTGCGTACAATGTAATTTTTTTTCATAGAAAGGTAATTATAATGTTAAATTATGCTATGTTTCGATAAAATTTGTTTTATTTCTATGGCGCTGTAGTATATTGTCTTAAGAGGACTTTTCGCCCGCATTTGTTGTCTCCGTCTTACACACTTACTACAAAGCTTATTTTCGTTCTCTAGTTTTAATAGTGAGCTGTTGTTTTTGATATTAGAGTGAATTGACCCATTACCAAACTTTTAGGTAAGCAGTGAAACACGATACCTTACCTTTTTCCATACAAAAAACGCAACACGATCGCCCTCCGCAATACAGGTATATACACTATTGAAAACTACAGTCAGAATGGCTAACTCAAAGTTGAAGTTAAAAATTCTAGTTAACCAACTTCGACTGTATTATTATTTGACATTATAAACATTTGTCATATTTTTTTTTTTATAAACGTATTTTCTCAATATCTATGCAGTTATAAGTGTAAATACTTGTAAATATACTACAAAAGGTTGTACAACAATTGTTCATAGTGTAATTTAAAAAAAAAGTTGATCATAAATGCAGAATATTTTTATATGACTTTTCAATGTTAGAACTTTTATGAAATTCATCGAAATCCCAAAAACTTTCAAATTATGGGTCAATGGTCAAAATAAAATCGAAAACCATAATTTGAAAATTTAACAGAAGATTCATTATAAGTTTTTTCCTTGATCAAACGAAAGGTTAACCGAAATTAATTCCGTTCTTTATAACTATTAGATATTTTTAATTTTTATTCATTTTTTAAAATTATTTATTCTTATTATTAGATTCTGAACGAAATGATGAATGTGTTGATTTTACAATGATGTGTTGTTTTTTTTTGTCTGTTTTTGTGTCTGTGTACAGCATAACTAGCCTTAATAATGCATCAATTTCAAACTTTGGGGGTGATTTCCGATGTAAAAGTTAATATCCTTGGTGCATTATACAGGTCAAAAGTAAACATTTTCCAACAGTTTTAAAAAAAATCGAGAAAAACAAAAAAAAAACGGGAATTTTTACGCAAAACCAGTTTTCGACCAAATCGATTTTTTTATATGGTTGTAATTAAAAAACTAAYYWCTGTAAATACTTGAAATTTTTACCAAATGTTTATGTTAGTGTTATATATATACAGTTTAATTTTCACAAATTTTTGACTTTTTTAAAGTTATTTATAGACCACTGACATTTTCAATTTTTTTTTGAAGTGCCGGTAAAAAAATATTGGTCGACCAAAAAAACTTGAAAATTTAATACTAGGTTTCTTATGAGTTTTTCTTATTGTAGCTAAAAAAAATTTTATAAACGTTTATAGTTCAAATTTTTACGAAATCTGTCGATAACGTTAAAATTTGCAAGTAATTTTAAAGTTGAAAAATCATAAAAAATGTTGTGTTTATAACTAAGAAT